AGTTGTATAGCTGAACCATACTACTTTCTCCCAACCACACTCTATATACAGTTCTCTTATCATTAACCAAGTTTCCTTCATAAAGAACTTCACTTTATACTGGTCCTCTTTATACCTCCATAATGCAATATCCTCCTCATTGGACATTTGTGCCTTCCGCATGATGATCATCTCTTCCATTCGATTAAGCAAACCCACTTGATGCCTTCTTCTATGATTATGCCCTACATCATAGACAGTGGCTTCTAACTGAATCCCCATATCGATAAAACCTCTGTCTCCACATATATCCCACAACCTTCCCATTGGAGTCCAAGAGTCATACCAAACTGAAGTTGTCTTCCCCATTTTTAACCTCCATTCGACAAAAACGTTTTGCAATATCTTTGTATTTTAGTAGTTTCCTCCAAATCCATGTTCCTTGCTGAGAAACTTTAGTCGCCCATATTGATCCTTTCCTAATCAAAATAAGCTTTAATCCAATTAACCCACAAAGACTTCGCAAACGATATTATTCTCCAGAGAAGTTTGAGACAGCATACTAGATTAGCCTCCTTCAATGGCTTAATACCCAAACCCCCTTCATTCTTCAACTTACAAACTTCCTGCCAAGATATCTTCGCTTTCCTACCCTCCAACTTTGGTCCAGACAAAAGAAATGCTGCACAGAGCCTATCAATTTCCTTAAGACACTCATTTGGTAGTTGAAAAGCGGCCATCCGGAAATTTTTCAAGCTTGTTATGACATAGTGTAATAGCTGCAACCTTCCAACAAAGGATAAAAATATACATGTCCAAGACTGAATCCTCTTTCTAATTTTCTCAACCAGCAGGAGGTAATCACTAACAGTCATGCGCTTTGTTAATAGTGGTAACCCCAGGTAATGAACTGGCAAGTCCCCTTCCTCAAAAGGAAAATGTTCTGTGATGAATTTTTGATTTATCTGATAAACTCTCGCCATGAATAATTTGGATTTCTCCAGACTTATGTGCAGCCCTTATATCTTGCAAAACGCATCAAACACCTGTAAAGTCCCTTCAATAGATCTCTTAGTTCCTTCTACAAATATCATTAAGTCATCCGTAAAACAAATGTGTTAAGTTGATGTTTTTGCACCTTGGATGATATCCAATCAACTCTTTCGCAGCAGCTTCATCCAACATTTTTGATAATACATTCATACATATCACAAAGAGATATGGAGACAGAGAACAACCTTGCCTTAACCCCCTTGAACTCTGAAAGTAACCTGCTAATTATCCATTAATCTGAACAGAAAAAAAAAGTCAGTCGAGATGCATAGGTGAATCCATTGTATAAACTTCTCATGCAGACCCATAGCTTCCAGAATCTTCAATAAAAAACTCCACTGCACTGAGTCAAATGCTTTAGATATATCAATCTGCATTGCACATTTTGGTGATATAGAATCCTTATAGTAGTCTTTTCACCAATTATGTGGCTAAAAGCAAGTTCTCCATTAGCAACTGATCTTGAACAAAAGTATATTGATTAAGACCAATACATTTCGGCAAAAAAAATTTCAACCTTCTTGCTATAATCTTTGAAATTACTTTATATAGCACATTACAGCATGAGCTTGTCATGTAGTCCTTCATCATTCTAGCAGAATCCTTCTTTGGTATAAGGGCCAAGATAGTGGAGTTGAGTCCCTTAGGTAGAAACCCTTTGATAAAGAAAGAATGTATAACAATCCTCACATCTTTACCTATAATTGGCTAGGCTTCCTTGAAGAATTCCACAGTTAGACCATATGGACCAGGAGACTTGTTTCCTGGCATTCTGAAAATGACCTCTTTAATTTCCTCTTCAGTAACTTCTCTTTCGACCAAATTTTTATCTCCTTCACTGCATTTAAATTTCAATAGCTCCTCCAATCTTTCTTTAGTTATTTCTTCATAGTCTTGTGTAGTATGATTAAGAAACTCATAAAAAACTCTCTGTTTCTTGCTTCACATTATCACCATCTACCACATTACCATCCTCGCATAATATCTCATTTATTGAGTTTTTAATCTCTCTAATCTTCACTACATTATGAAAAACTCTATTATTTCCATCTCGTACTTGCAGCCAGTGGAGTTTTGGTCTTTGCTTACTCCAATCCTCCTCCAAAATCTGCAAGATTTTTCCATTTCTTATAAGCAACTCCTTCATCTCTAATAGCTTCCAGCGTTGGATTTATGTGTTCTCATGTTTCTCACACAGAAGAATATAAGTGTCTTTAGTCCTCTAATATAAAGTCCCCAACTTTCTCTTGCTTAATGACCTTAGAGGATGCTTAAGCTTCTTCAAATTCTTCGTAAGCCTAAACATAGCAGAAGTGGAATGAAACAAAGGCGCACATTGACTCCACTGTGTCCCAGTGAGTGGTAGAAACTCCGGAATTTTAGCTATTACATTCGAGAGCTTAAAGGTCCCTCTCTTCCTCCTTTCTTCTACTTTGAATTGAATCTTACATCTCATATGGTCAGAGCATCCTCCTGTTTCAAAGACACTATAAACTCTCGAGAACTTCTGAATCCATTCTTCATTAATCAACACTATATCTAACTTCTTGCATATAAGTTCTTCTTCTCTTTTATTACACCAAGTATGAAGAGGTCCTTTGTAGCACATATCAATGAGATTACAGTGCTCGACCACTGATTGGGAATCTCGAATACCAGTAGAAATGCTTGCTGGTGACCCAAACTTCGAATGCTCATTACTATCCAAGATCTCATTAAAATCCCCCATCAACATCCAAGCTTGATCCTTAAACAAAGCAGAATCCTTATGATTCTTAATATCTTCCCATAAACTTCTTCTTTCGTCTGTTGTATTAAGAGCATAAAAAAATGAACAGAAGAACTCCTCCGTATACCCTTCAATCATCACAGAACAAGTAATTATCTGACTACTTTTGAAAACCAGTGTTACTCTTACTTTCGATCTCCAGACTACCCAAATTCTTCCAAGAGGATTGTACTCATAATTCGAGAGAACATCCCAATCTTTAAAAACCTCCATAGCTATCTTATTTACTTTCCTTTCTTTAACTCTAGTCTCGATTAAGCATCCAAACTGAACTCCAATTTCTCTAACCACTCACGTACGATGGTGTGCTTTATTGGTTGATTAAACCCACGTACGTTCCAAAAGAAACTTGTCATTGAGAGTTTTTTTTTTTCGATACCTTTCATGACCTTCTTGCTCGATATAGTTTCCTTTGCCTTCAGGACAGATGTATCCGATAAATATTTATGATTCTTCTTTGATGTACGTGGGAGATATTGCCTCATCAACTCTTCATGTACATTTTCCTCCTCCCCTGAATCAACTGCTTTAGTTCTTCTTCATCCTCTTTATCTATTTCTCCCAACTCTAAATCAGATTCCTCAGTTATCTTTGGATTTTCCACCATCTTATTATCTTTCTCCATAACCTTTACTACCTTCTCAGTTTCTTCTACTTCTTTTATCTCTTCATCATCTATTATAATAAAAGCCCAAGAATCTTGATGGAGTAATTGTTATCTGAATCTCTACTATCTCATTTATCTTCCTCGAACTTCTTCCTACTTTATTTGGGCTTTGACCATTCCTTCTTTCCCGACTCTACTACCTTACTAGACATCCTTTAATCCACTTCTTTTCTCTCCTTCAATAAACTCCTTTCCTACTCAGATTCCTTTCCAGATCCCACCACAATAGTTTCCTCCTGCATATTACTTTCCTTTTTTCCTCGTACAAACCTCATCCAAGTGACCCCATTTCCCACAGTTGGTACACCTTAGAGGAAGCCATGGATAAGTGAACTCAACATTTACCGGTTCCCCTTGTATTGTAAAGCAAATCGTGCTAACCAACTCCTTTGTAAGATCTGCATTCACAAATACTTTGGCTATCTCAAAGATTGCACAGGTTGTTGTTTCTGGATGTAACCTCTCTGGAAATCCCACAGCACTCGTGATGAAACTGAGTCCTTCCCAGGAGAACATGTTCATAGGAACGTTCTCTAAGTGCACATATAGCGGTACAGATTCCTCTTCTTCTGCCGTCTTTTCAATGTTTGGTTCCCATCTGCATACCACGATTGGAAAATTAGCAATATTCCACATTCCACGTCTCAGAATCCTTTCCTTAGCTATGTTGTTTGTTACTCGAAACTTCATCATTTTAGAGTTGCTCTCATACACTTCAATCTTCTGTGATGAGTTTCCAAATTTCCAGATTTTGTTGAAAATAACATGTACCTTCGCTACATGTGGTGCTTCGTCCAGAAATTTTCTGATGATGAAATCCTCCCACAGAGGTGATGATTTCTCGATCACGTCTTGCGGAACCTCCACCGTATGTTTCCCTTCCGATACCAATAGATTAGATCATACTTTTTCAAAACTTTCTTCTCTTGCACTGCTGATACCCATGACTTGCCAGATCAAATTGGTGGAATCTAAATCCTACCGGAGACTCCTAAGATTCCATCAGAGCCATCATGAGACGTACACTGATGGTAGAGAACTCAAGAAATTGGAAATCGTTAATCGCCTCAAAATCACCTTATTTGCAAAACGGTGCATTTCAATTAAAAGATCTCGTGATTCACAAGTCTTTAACTCTCCTTGACTCAAGTCAAACCCTCTTTCTCCCTCCATGTCTTCTATTTCAAATCTTCCCCAGCGGATCTATATCAACAACATATTTCTTCTTCTTTTTGTGAATGTAAGTCTGACTAATCCTGTGTTTCAAAAAAAAATTCTGACGGATCCTATCAATAATTCCAAACCAGACGATTTACATCAACAATCTCAACAAAAAGGTCAAGCTCGACGGTGATATATATATGTTGATTGTGAGAAAAAATCAAGCTCGGCTATATATATATATGTTGATTGTGAAAGATATTATCCCGATTGTTTTCAGTTTGATTGAGATATTAATATGTTGTTGTTCTTCTGAACGCGGTGTTCTCGCAGTTCGAAAAGATAGTAGAGATGTTGGTGTTTAAGACACTGAAACACAAAGGAAAAGCCTGGGTTGTGTTCGACTATGCCGAACCTGCTTCCACTGCTATTTCCAAAAATGGGTTTCCTTTTTACGACAAACTCATAGTAAGATTGAGATATGGCTAGCCAGAATTGTTGAAGTTTGATGAGATATTCTCTCAATAACTTTGCTCTTAATCATTAGATTTTTAACAAAAATCTTGATGGGCAGAGAATACAATTTGCCAAAAAAAAATCAGATGTTATTGCCAAGGCCAATGGTACTTTTGTTCCTCACGAGAAACGAAAGCGACAAGAGGAGAAAGGTGAGTCACATACTTTACAATTCTTGCATTTCTTCTCCAACATATATCAACAAACAGAATTTTAGGGAGCATTTACTTTTTTGTGTCTTTTGGAATTGCAGAAGGCAAGAAAAAGAACCATAATAATTCTACACAGATAGGCATGTCAGCATATACAGGTGTCTACGGAGCTATACCTCACGTGAGTCATCATCATATCTAATCTTTAATTCACCTCTTTCGCTTTCTCACCTTCGCTCATCCTCTTTCTTTATCCTTTACCCACACAGCTTTCGCAAGTACCATACCCTGGTGGTGTGAAAAACAATCTTCCAGAGGGACCGGCAGCCCCCCCCCCCCCAAACAACATCCTCTTTGTCCAACACCTTCCTCATGACACAATACCAACCCTGCTTCAGGATCTCTTGGACAAGTACCATGGTTTCAAGGAGGTTAGGATAGTTGCAGCCAAGCCCGGTATTGCTTTTGTGCAGTTTGCAGATGAGATGCAGTCAACTGTTGCAATGGAGGGACTTCAAGGTTTCACTATTCAGCAAACCCCAATGCTCATCATTGTAGATCCTAAGATCTACACTAAGTATTTGATAGAATTCGTTTGTAAATTAGGGAGGAAAGAACTTCATGGGAGACAATATCCTCAGAACACAACAATAGAATTGGATTCGATTCGTCGAGAATGGACTTTATTCTTATGTCGAATAACATTGAGATCTCGGAGGAGAGATAAATCGTGACTGAACTCGCGGTCGAGCTGCCTACGTACCATCGAAGAGGGATCAAGACTTAGCGTAGTTCGATTACAACCATATCAAATGAGGTTTAATTGGTCCTGAGCAGAACGTCGGGTTCGTGGGTCTTTAGTAAGACGTCGGTTTCATCGGTCTTGTGTGGGATGTCGTTTATTTGTGAGAAGGACGAGCTAAGGATATTGGATTGGCTGATCATGATCTCGTAAGATCAGGTTTCATGTGAACAGTCCTTGCTCTGGATCAAACATAGAAGTCCATAACTTAATGTAATGATCATAAAGATGACATATCTCTGATTCGATGTCGATGGATGTATCAAAAGAAGAATTGCTCTCAGCACCTTGGAATACATGAATATATTAGATTAACGGAATGTAAGTGGAGTTATTCGTGGTCTAGAGCTCACGAGTACGAGCTTCTCTTTTATGAGAAGGGGAAGAATGGAAGCGTGTCCTTTGTTTGTCTCAAGGTTAGTGCTTTTGTTCTTGTGGAGTGTTAGATCGGAGAAAGAGAAGATGCTTCCCAAAGTCATCTCTTGTCCTTTTATATGATCTTTGGATGGTTGGTGCTTTATTACACGTGCTCCATAAATCTTGCTTTGACCCATTATTGTGATCTCATGAAGCCTAGATATTAGAAGGTTAAACTAAACCCATTTGACGTAGTCTCTATATATATATAAAACACATAATTATAATGGGATAAATTTGGTACAAATTGTGGTCCAACATTTGCCCCCCCCCCCCGGTTCTTCAAGTCAGATTACGGGGTTGGAGAACAGAAAAACTTTCTAATAACCAAAATGAAGTCGTTTGTCGTTTGATAACAAGATCGTGTAAGAAAGATTGCGTTGAGCTTTTGGTCTTTGTTCCTTCGTGATCGAAATGTGAATTTGATCTAAGCCATTAGATAAGCTACGTCAAGTCTTTTAAAACTTTTTTATCATTGAAATCGTTTACGTTTTGGGTCGGATAAGAGCTCGATGTAGTATATTGCACGAAATATGGAAAGTTTGTGGAGGCCGTGGAATTAAAGATAAAGGGTCGAGCTGGTTAACAAAGTTTCCAATTCTGAGAGGTACGAAGATATCTTTTTATCTCTCATGGTAGATTGGAATTTTACGATGAGTAGTTTAATCGAATGTTTTTCTGTGTATAAGATTTTGATGTGAGCCTCGTCGTTTATTTTGTATCGGCTAAGGTTTATGTCAATATTTTTTTTTGTTTGTGTTAAGGTGGTGGAAATATAGATATAATCTCAATGAATCATCAAGTCAATGCAAAATGATTGGCTACACGAAAAGAGTCAAATGTTTACTTTAGTTTGGCTATAGGAGCAATTTATATCGCTTGTCCTTGAGATGATTTCGAGATGGAAGCTTATCAGGAATCCAACTCGCGGACCAGTGGTGGCCAAAGGATGCAATTTCTTGATGTTGTTTTTGGAAGGTGGTTTAGGTCGATGAGAGCTTGGGTCGTCTGACACCACTTGGTAAAACACGCTAAGAGTTCGAGCTCGTACAATACGAGTTTATAGAACATCTTGCGGTTGTATAAGTTTATTTACGAAGTCGTGATGCAAACTAATGAATAAATATGAATTTGGTAACTTACAAGATCGCAATAGAAATAAAGAACCTGTATTGTCTGATGCAATATATCGATATGCGTAAATAGATTATTAATAATTGTTTACCGACATGGACGTGTCCCAGTCTTGGTGGCTGCGAGTTAGCAGAGAAGAAATGGTGCTGGACTTTTGATCATGTAGTTCTTGTGTAGTTGACGGGAGGTTGAGGCGGCTGTGAATTATTGACTTGATTCATATACAACTCATAATACGCCATTGCGAAGCACATTGCTCTTCCTGCCACTTTCAGTCTTGTTTTCAATAGGATATATCGTTAGAAAACATGCGATCTCCAAATATTTCTGCATGGTGTGTCTAGATTTATCGTTTTCTTTCATAGGAAATGATTCCTATCCAGAGCTTCTTTGATATGAAGTGGATAGATCTTTCTCATAATTAAGTGGAGAGATTGTCGCTTAAGGAGTGCATGACACAAGTCTTTAGCTTCTCTTGCGTATCTCTGGTATTTTCCCTTTTGATCCACTTGATATCGGGCTCGCTATCTTTCTGAAAGCATGATAAGAGCTCGTTCAAAAACTCACTGTCCATCTGGGAGTGTAATGTTTCATCGGCTTCTTGAATTTAACTCTTTGGTTATTATTTTGCTGGTCTTCTAGAAGGGTCGAGCCTTGCGGTCACTGAGCTTCTAAGGTTCTTTGGATATATGATTCTATTTTTCGGCAAGCGAGATGATTTGTCACTCTTTTTGAGATCGTTTTTATCTTAGATTAAAATCGATGCTTCTAAGAATGATTATTGATCCGTTCGAGATCAAGCTATTTTGGGTCCAATTTGTTGCTTTCTGGAAGAATGATTCTTTAAAGGCTCCTCAAGCTGTCCAAGATCGTCAGAGGTCAAACTCGATGTCCTTTTCGGAGAAAGGCAACTTGATGGCTTGACAGTGTTCATGGCGTGGGATGTGATCATCTCAAAAGAGATGTAAGTTTCGTCTTTCTTGAGCGACACATCAGTTTCGTCATCTTGAGATGCTAGCTTCGTCGGTCTCAGCGAGATGTCTACTTCGTCCGTTATCGTCTTGGATGAGACCTATGTTGTCGATGAATAAAGATTTTAAAGAGGTCTTACGAGATGAACTCGATCTTTGGTTCCCCTGATATCAGGAGGAGAGCGAGCTCTCACTCTTATTGGATACAAGGTGAATGAAGATACATATTTTTATTATCACGATCTCGTAAGAGATCATGTAGCCTTGTTAAAAACATGTTTTTGTGTTTATGGCTTTAGTCTTGAGCTTGTCTTGAATTCTTCTTTGTTGGATAATTTTCTTGGGTTTAACAAATATGGAGACAGATTTATTTTATGGAGTAAACATAAAGAATTTTATGTCCCTTCTTCTTGTCAAGTAATCTCATAAGCGAAGAATTATTTAATCATCATGTCACTTAGTTGTTCGATGACAAGAAGATCGAATAGTCTTTTTCTTGGTCGTTTATCATAATTAAAATATGATCTCGTCCCTTACTGTAGCAAATAAAGGGATGTCCTATTGGTTGCAGTCAATTCAGCTCTCTTTGTTTTCGTGAGCAGATTGTCGTGATGGCTCGAATTCTTTGGATTTTGATACTAGGAATCTCTATGTCTTGTATTGATTCTTATCTCGTTTAGGGAGTGTTTTAGAGTTTGGTACTGCAGTAATAACTGGAGTTGACCCGGGGCCTTGTGAAATGTTGTTATTCGGATCTCATGAGATTGAATGTGAAGTCGGATCCCATCAGATCTGAAAGTTAGATCATTCTTCGTCTGCGTTAATGAGTAGGATGACAGTGGTTTGCAGCTCCTAGTTTGGCTGTATTGATCATACATCGAACTCGATCGGATTTGATGCATGCTCGATCACACTAGATCGGGATAGTTGAATTATCCCGATCGGGTTTGGCTGTATTGATCATACATCGATCTCGATCGGGTTTGATGCATGCTCGATCACACTCGATCATAAGCGAAGAATTATTTAATCATCATGTCACTTAGTTGTTCGATGACAAGAAGATCCAATAGTCTTTTTCTTGGTCGTTTATCATAATTAAAATATGATCTCGTCCCTTACTGTAGCAAATACAGGGATGTCCTATTGGTTGCAGTCAATTCAGCTCGCTTTGTTTTCGTGAGCAGATTGTCGTGATGGCTCGAATTCTTTGGATTTTGATACTAGGAATCTCTATGTCTTGTATTGATTCTTATCTCGTTTAGGGAGTGTTTTAGAGTTTGGTACTGCAGTAATAACTGGAGTTGACCCGGGGCCTTGTGAAATGTTGTGATCCGGATCTCATGAGATTGAATGTGAAGTCGGATCCCATCAGATCTGAAAGTTAGATCATTATTCTTCTGCGTTTAATGAGTAGGATGACAGTGGTTTGCAGCTCCTAGTTTGGCTGTATTGATCATACATCGAACTCGATCGGGTTTGATGCATGCTCGATCACACTAGATCGGGATGGTGGTTGCATCAGTCTTGAGTGAGACATCAGTTTCGTTGAGCGAGATGTTAGCTTCATCCCGATCTCATCAGATTAAATACCGTAGAAGAATTCATGTCTTTATTCATTTTCATAACTAACGTATGATTTCATCTCTTGATGTACTGAATGTGGAGACGCCGTCTTTTCTCCGTGCAAAAAATGTAAAGAATTAATAGATTTTCTTCAGCTCAAACAATATAAGTTGTTTGATCGTCTGTTTTCTATGGTTCTGATTTCGAACATTAATAGAAAATTCGGTAGTCTTTTTGGATGTGGCTCACTAAGCCCAAGCTCCTCGTTTTTCCAATCTCATGATGGGTTTCGTTATACAGTGAAGTGATAACATATTTTTCTTTTTCATTGTCTCCCATACTGAACCAGAGAGGTCTTTTAAGAGCTTGTGCTTCTCTAGAAAGTGGAGAGGTCATTAATGGCTTTAGCTCTCGAGTTCTGGCGGCGAGCTCTCGTTCTGTCCTTTCGACCTGGCGGTGGTTATGATATTTTAGCAGCAAATTTATAATCATCTCAGGTGAGACGTCTATTTTATCGGTCTTGAATGGGACGTCGAGTTCGTCGGTTTTCGTTCCAAACAAGAAATCGGGTTCATTAGTTCTCATAAAATTTTGGTTCGTGTTCTTGTGAGATGTAGAATCGGATAAAGAATTCCAATTGGCTGAATACAATCTCGTATCAGATTTTGTGGGAAGAGCTCACGTTCTTTACCAAACACGTAGTTGTATCAAGGCGACATAAGAAACAGAAAGAGCGACTTCTTCTTTATCTCGTGTATGTCTCTATCACAAGGTGACAACCTGTGTTCTTCTTAAATTGTAAAACAACGATGGTAACGTTGCGTTGATTACGCATGAAGGACTTGACACATATGACGTAGGAAATCTTATGATCACTCTTCAAATGAGACATGTCGTTAAGAAGGTAAGAACATAAAGAGAGTCTCTCTTTCATCTCTAGTCTCGGTGGTGGGGCTTAGTCTAGTTTACAACTTTTAGAGAGGAACATGATGGCTTTTGAACTTTTTCTTCCTTTTCATATGAGAGCTTGCGCTCTTGTCTTATAAGAGGGTGGAAGAATATAGTTCTGTATATAGTTTTCTACATTCTTGGTTTTATTGATCTGCTTTGTTGGATGAAGGTTTATGATCCGGTCAAAGATGTTACCGTATCTGACTCATGAAGCAGGGATGATCAAGTTGATGAAATTTAAGAGCTTGTGCTCTACTTGGAAGGTGGAGGAGTCTGGTCTCCTGTGCATATTCGATCTAGTGCGGTCTTGTTTAGAAAGTTTTTGAGAAACAATGACTCATCGTTTAGCGAACTTACCATCATGACAGGAAATGGTCACATATTTTCTCTGACTTTATTGTTTCAGTTCTTCTTTATATCAATGATAATATATGTGTTGTTGATGGATTCTAAGAGCTC